GAAACCACAGATAATTTTAATATTACACTATAGTTGCCATAGTATCTTGAAATGCTGTGTACTCTCATCACCACTTAGAAAGTATAGTAGCTAATAGGCCTACGGCCAGGTATTAGTTTATGTGTTAAAGATGAATACATTATTATAGCACAATTCATAATACTTCGATAGCTCTAATGCAATATAACTAATTTCTTGATAATCCTATGTATTTTACTGGAAGCATTAACAACCTTTATTCTTCAGAAAAACCCACATGCTTCCCAGATGCCAAATGGGTCCATCAAACAAAAATATGAACACCTCTCCCCAAGAAAGAACAACAATTTTAGTTCCAGAATGCTAGTCAATTCACCCAATCGATTTCAAACCCAGTCATATTGAATTCTGGGATCATATATGAAAGATGAGGCAATTAGAAGTATTTCCCCTTTGAACTCATTTATTTACTCATGCAGCAGATACTAGAGTAAACCATAGCTTTAAAGTACCATGGCAGGTGATATGGGGTACAGAGAAAGCAATACTGTTCTTAAGAAGCCCAAAGGCTCACAGAAAAAAAGGACAATACAGATAACTGTGCACGACGTGACTCCAAGGGAGTAAGTGTTGGATTAGAGAACTAGCATTTGCAACTTAACATCACTGAAAGCTTTTAGCCAGAGGTGACTTGAACTGAGACTTTTCTTTGGAACACTAATCTGGTTGAGCAGTAAAGTGGGCTGGATAGAGGTTAAGGTTATCAAGATAACTTTGGTAATTGCAACAAAAGATACCACAGGCCTGCAGGAGTCAAGTGCCAAGAGCAAAGGTGAATGGTGATCCAGGACACAGAGTTTTGCTGTCTTGTGCAAATGGCTTCAAAAGCATCCTCTTAACAGCTCTCCTTTACTGCCTCACCGTCATAGCCATGTTCTGAAAAGCCAACCTTCCAGATAAGCTCACATTTAAAAATCAATTAAAAGACTATGAACTTTTCAAGAAATAAGAAGCAAAAACTGTAAATTCAGTCTTTTAAAAAAAATTTGCTGGAATATATTTGCTTTACAATGTTGTGTTAGTTTCTGCAAACAGTCTGAAGAGAAGTTATAAAGACCTGGAGAAATCAACTGCTCCAGCCCCTGCTGGCAAACGCCTCTGTGCTGCTCCTTCACAGACACGGGCGGGAGGACCGTCTGCATCACAGTTGCATAAAATCCCCAAATCCATCTGATGACCACTGAGAGTCACAAAGTCATTCCGAACCCCCACTGAGTCATTTATTGACAGGAAGTTGTGCTAAGTGAAATTTCTTCTGCTCAGCAGCATCCCCTTTAAATAGAACCTTCCATCAGTGTCCTCCTCTCTGTGTTCACCATGTCAATTTCTTTAGCCTTTTCTCTAGAATCTCTATTATAATGATTTTGACTGTTCTTTGAACTCTCTGACAGTTTTCTATACTTCTTTTCAAGGTTACCAGATAAAATAAATTTGATTTGAGATCAACAATAAATAATATTTTAGTATAAGCATGTCCAATGAATAAATATGTCACAAATATTACACAGGACACACCTACACTAAAATATGACTAATTAATGATCTGAGTCTCAAATATGAGTGGAGACCATGAATTGATATTTGCTATATCTAGCTATTTTCTTTTAAATCTGTCAAAGCCACAATCACCTAACTCAGTAGTCTCAAACTTGAGCAAGCATCAGAATCACCTGAAAAGCTGCTACCACATAGATTCCTAAGTCTCGCCCCTCAGAGTTTCTGATTCAGAAATCTCTTGCAGTTAGGAATCTGCACTTCTACCAGGTTGCCAGGTGATACTGATGCTGCTGGTCTGAGGACCAAACTTTTTGAGAACTAGAGTTTGAATGCCCTGACCCGTACTCAAATTTCCTGAATTAAGTACAGTGTGGGGAGGGAGCATGTTGGGGTCTCTAAAAGCCCCAGCCAGACCGCACAAGCCCAGAACAGCATGCGCTCTCCTCTCTGTGCATTGAGCACTCAAGTATCCCCCCCAAAACTGGAAGGAAATCAGTGTGTGTGTGTGTGTGTGTGTGTGTGTGTGTGTTTGCACGCACGCCAAGTCCCTTCAGTCATGTCCAAATCTTGGCAACCCTATGGACTGCAGCCCACCAGGCTCCTCTGTCCATGGGATTCTCCAGGCAAGAATATTGGAGTGGGCTGCCATTTCCTTCTCCAGGGGATCTTCCTGGCCCAGGAATTGAACCACATCTCTTTTTCTCCTGCACTGGCAGGCAGGTTCTTTACCATGAGAGCCACCTGGGAAGCCAGGAAATCAGATAGTGCTTCAGATTAAGAATGTCCAGCCTCTGCTCATTCCTACTGGATTAAATTCCTGGAGATTAAAAGGACCTCTTTACTGCTCATATAACTGCTCCTAAGGTAAGTTTATCAAGGGATCCATGAGCCACCCCTTTCATTTGCCCCTCAGAGAACGTGCTCCTTGTCCCAAAGGAGAAAACAGTAGGTGGCTCCATCCCAGTCCCTCTGCTTAAAAGTGAACCTTCTCATAATGACTGTTCCTGTTTTACTTTCTGACCTTTGTGCCCCAGTAAGGCCAGCCTCCTAGGTGGTACAGTTGGTAAATAATCTGCCTTCCAATGCAGGAGACACCAGAGATGCAGGTTTTATCCCTGGGTCAGGAAGATCACCTGGAGAAAGAAATGCCAACCCACTCCAGTAGAGAGAAGCCTCTTGAGCTACAGTCCAAAGGGGTCACAAAGAGTCAGACATGACTGAGCGTGCACACACACACACACAACCTCCCCCAGGTCCAGTGTTTGGTACAGGAGGCTGTGCAATGAGGCAGACTGCTTGTGCCTCCAATCAACAGCTTCCTTTTCCTTTGTCTGCTAACTCTGAAGACTCTTCCCATTCTGACTCTGGGGTTGGCCTTAAACCCTGTTTTGGCCAATAGAAAAAAGCAGAAGTACTATGCACCAGTTCTAAATCAAGACTTCAAGAGGTCTTGCGAGCTTGGGTTCCTTCTCTTGGGACCTTGCTCATCACCACAAGCAAGGCCAGGCTAAGACACCAGAGCATGAAAGACCATGTGGAATGGAGCTGAGTCAGTCCAGCTGAGGTCATCCGTGCCTAGCCGGTCCCCAGCTGACCCACTAGCTGACCTCCGATGCATGCGTAAGCCCAGAGGAGCTGAACCCAAAGCCGCAAAAACGCCCAGCTGGGCCGTGAGTCTGTGACCAAAAATGAATGCTTATTGCTACAAACTGAGGTTTTGGGGTGATAACTGCTCAGCATCACTTTGGCCAGAGATAACTGATGAAGCATCTGCCATCCTGGTCATGCTCAGCTCCACCCTGAGTCCAATGACTTTGTTGAGACTCCCTGGGGAAGGCGCTCTCTGCATTTCGGTTATGCCGAAGACTGAAAGCCTTCCGCTGCCACCATGGACCCTCTGGGTACAGCCCTTGAGTGAAGCTGCCGATTCACTGCACAGTCATCCTGAATTGGACAATCATATTCGTGTTGGTCAACACCAAGCGAGGCTTTCTCATTGCCTTTTCTTCCATGCCTGGCCAATGTTGTTTTCCATCCTGCTTTTGACTCACTGGCTTCTCTCTCTGAGTTTTTGGTGTGTATATGTGCATGCTGTCACTGTTTTGCCACGAGATGAATAAAAGAATGACTGAGACTGATTCACTAATCTCTGCTTCTCTAAGAAGAAGAGATGAAAAGGAGATGTGTGAATGAGTAAAACAAATAGCGATGAGGCTCATCACCCCTTCCCTTCTCTGCTTTCCCCAACAGACCCCTCTGAAATGAAAATGAAATTAAGGGAATAAAGAGAACTGACTGATACCTGAAGAGAAGAGAAAGCATTACGAGCAAAGAAGAGCAGAAGTTAGAGGGGAATTTAACAAGCAGGCATAAACGTGAGATCTCAGCAGGGAAAGCTACAGTCCAAAATACAGCAGGAGAGGGTTGCAGTGGGTGTGGATTGGAGCTGGTGGAGGACAGAAGGAAGAATCAAGCTTGGACACAGCATAAACGATGACTTACAAGTGATTTGAAGGATACATGCCCTCCTATGTTCACAGTAGCCAAGACATGGAAACAACCTAAATATCCACTGAACAGATGAATGGACAAAGAAGGTGTGGTCCATATACACAACGGAATAGTACTCAGTCACTGAAAAGAATCATGCCAACATGGATGGGTCTGCAGATGATCACACTAATTAAGTCAGAAATAGAAAGACAAATACCATATTATATCATCTGTGTGTAGAATTTAAAAGATGACAGAAATGCACTTATTTACAAAACAGGAATAGAATCACAGAGAACAGACCTGTGGTTGCCAAGAGGGAGTGGGTGGGGGGTGGATTAGAAGTTCGGGATCAGCAGATGCAAACTATTGTATACAGAACACATAAACAACAAGGCCTTACTGCATGGCAGAAGGAATTACATTCACCATCCTGTGATAAACCACAAGGAAAAGAACACATACACAGATGTATGTGTGTATAACTGAATCACTGCTATACAGCGGAAATTAACACTGTCAATCAACTGCATTCCAATAAGACATAGTATTTAAAAATTAAAAACTAAAAGTGGTTAATAAGCACATCAAAAAGTCTGAGGATATAGTTATTTATAGTGAACAGCAACAAAAGAAGGGAAAACTGAGCTGCTGGGGAACAGAGAAATAGTATAGTTAAGGAACTTATGGGACACAACACTCAATATTACACATCCAGCAAAACCCAGCTTGGAATGAATATATAACAACTTGGGGAAACTATGGCGATAGGAAATGTACTAATATCTGACAATGCAAAAGTAAGAGAATGGCTTAAAGAAGTGGGAGTAAAAAGAACTAAATTCCAGGGAAGGACAGTGGACCAAATATCATCACCGTACATGGTGGGGGAAGGTAAGAGAGGTTTTCAAATGTTGAAGGAATAAAAAACAGTCTCAAGAATGCTAGGGAGCATCACTATTTCTGTGTGGGATGAAATCGGAGGTCTTATACAGCCAGGGGATATTATTCGGTTGACCAGAGGGTATGCATCCATGTGGAAAGGATGTCTGACACTTTATACTGGAAGGGGTGGAGAACTTCAGAAAACTGGGGAATTTTGTATGGTTTATTCAGAATTGCCAAATTTTAGTGAACCTAACCCAGATTATCGAGGACAACAGAACAAAGGGGCACACAATGAACAGAAGAATAATTCCATGAATAATAGTAACAATGTGGGTACAGGTACATTTGGACCAGTGGGAAATGGCGTTCAGACTGGCCCAGAAGCGAGGGGATGCCAATTTTCATATGCTGGTAGAAGCAATGGCCGGGGACCTATAAATCCACAGCTACCAGGAACAGCTAATAATCAAACAGTCATGACCACAATAAGTAATGGCAGGGACCCCCGGAGAGCCTTTAAAAGATGACCTTTGCCAAATACTCGCATGTAGTTTTTAAACTATATGCCCTACTTGAACACTTATTGCACTTTTATTTATTGTTAACTGTGAAAACTGTTCTTTATCTGTTTCTTTTTATGTTTTTGGTTTGTTAACAAGAGTGGTTTGTTTTTTATAGAAGAACTATTACGCTGCTCGAGTCTCCTATTGAAGAATGGGAACACTCTGAAGAATAGGGGCATTTATTTTTAGAGCAAAAAGATCTTTGGATATCCTTTAAAAAACCTGCACCCATTTCATGGGTGAGTTACTTATGCCATCAGCATTTTAGCCTCTATGAGTCTGTCTTCTATATAAATTTTGTAATATTTAAAATAAGGCTTAGTGGGAGATGTTCTTTTGTCTTAAATACAGATATTGCCAACTAAAGCAACAACCACCAAAAAAAACAAAAATCTGGTCAATGTTAGCAGCAATTTTTGAGTGTGACTCCAGGGAATGATTGACTTCTTCATTGAGTGACTGCCATTAAGATTTTCCAAGGACTGAATCATCCTAAACTCTTGTTGTATTACCGAAAAGCATATTCTTTATCAGAATTATGGAACAGAATGTGATCTGTATTATGACAAATTTTTAGAAGGAATCTACATTTATTTAAAAGTAGTCCTATTAATATTTATCAGCTTTGTGCATTACACTGAGTGGAAATTTAAACCTGAGGCCTTGAATGTTTATTTTTTGAAACTACTGTGTCAAATATTAAAGTTTAATTTGAGGGAGTTATGAAGTCATAATAAACATTGATCTAATTTTTACAAATTATGGTAAATAAATATAATAGTGAAGGCAATTCAAATTGAATTTATAGTCAATCTTACAGGGTCCTGGGTACTTGCAGAAAATCAGCCTGGAGTGAAAATCCTAGGTACTTACTTATTTGAAGGGAGTGTGTGTGTGGGTGTTTATTGTCAAAGTTTCTGAACACAATTCACAAAGCCTTATCAGCAGAAGTTAAGAAATGGCTCTCTCAAAGAAGCAAATACAGCTTTATTTAGAAATATAAAGGTTACATTTACTCATGTGATGTTAAATGGTGTCCAGTTCCACTTTTCACTGTAGGGTGGATAACTGGAAAATTTTTCCTTTGTTAGAATTAAACTCTTCAAAATTAAAAAAAAAAAAAAGAATGCTAGGTAACCTAACACAGGCCATGGACAGAAGAACTATATAGATATGTAATTATCCAGAACATCAAGATTGTCACTGATGTGGGCTAAATCTGTATTCATTAAATGTTAAAAAATAATATCCAAAACTGATCAATTGAGTCCTGGAGGACAAGGATATACTTTAGGTTATGGCAATAATCATAACATAATTACAATAGCCATAATTACAATTTAAAAACAGAAATGGTTATAATGATTGTCTCCAAAGAACTTGGGGAAAGTGTGCAGGAATTGTTCATTTCAGCTTGTCTTTCTTCATGTTTTAAAATATATATACACACACACATATATATACACAAATACACACACTCACATACATAACTCTTATTAAAAACACAACTCAAAGGTTACACTTACCCTACTGAATAACTGTTCAATACAGATGGCCCAGCTGGCAACCAAGAGGAGCAGAGGGTATTCTGTGAGATAAGTCAGAAAGTCCCTCAAATACAACCTGATTTTCTTTCTGTTCAGTCGCTCAGTCATGTCCAACTCTTTGTGACCCCATGGGCGGCAGCACACCAGGCTTCCCTATCCATCACTAACTCCCAGAGCTTGCTTAACCTCATGTCCATTGAGTCCATCTCACTCTCTGTCGTCCCCGTCTCCAAAGTATTGGAGTTTCAGCTTCAGCATCAGTCCTTCCAATGAATATTCAGGACTGATTTCCTTTAGGATTGTCTTTGAGCACATTTATAGCATGGAAAACTGCACTAAGAGCCTCAGTAATGAGGAACTGCTGATGATTTCCACTTTCCTTTTAAGCCCTGAAAAATCACAGGAAGAGGTTCTGCTGTGTGAAAATCCATGAAGGGAGCAGCTGCCCAGAAATGTGGTGCTGCCCAGAGACAGTGTCATGTGTAGAAAGAACTTGAACGGTAAGGCCAACCTGAGAAAGCAAAGGCTGCTCCCCAGCTCTCCTACTCCGGGCTGGAGGACCGCTGCGCTTGCGTCCTCTGAAGGGTCAAGCCCACCTCCTCCACAGCACACACGTGGCAGCCAGCAGCCCAGCAGCCCCTTAGAGTCTTAGCACAGGACCACTCTGCTTTTAGAAACCGTCTTTGTGAACCATGACATGTATTACATGAGTTGCTTGTAGGGAACTGACCGCAGAATGTCTTCATGGTTGACTGTTAAAATGGTAATATGCCAGTGATAGGTCCACAGAACCCAAGTCCTTCCTACAGTACCCACATCCCTGCACTGCCAGGCATCATCGTTCTAATCTGTCTGCTTTTAGGCTCTCACCTGGACTGGCCTTATTGCTCTACAAACTCATCATTTCCTTCTGCTCCAATCCCTAGCTTCTGTTTCCAGCCCCCAACCAACCCAGTCATCTCAATCTGCCAGCTTCTATGTGATTATTTACAGAGCACTGCTCCCTTTAATGCTATTCCCTTCCTTTCCTGAGGAAAACTTCCCTTAGCTCATCACTGCCCACTGCAGTGTGACCCCCAAGAGTGTTCCAAGCAATACTAATGCCTCCACTAGTTCTTATAAAAATACTAAGGAAAGGAAAGGAAAGAATGGATTCCGTGGAAAAACAATTTGGAATATGCTGCACACTCTAATTCCCATAGGCAGATTCACAATCTACATTAGAATGCTCTGGGCTCTGGGAATCCCATGGTATAAAGAAAAGTGTCTGGCTTTGTTTAATTCATCATTTCACTTCTACACAAAACATAGATTAACACAATCTGGAATTCCTCTTTTGTTGATCAAACTTTGGCCCCACCACTGGTTTGCAGTCCCAGGAGCGGTGGTCTAGTGTGAGGTTTCTCCACCGTGAATGCACAGAGGGCATTCCCCACCATTATCTCCCTCTGCCCAAACCCTTCTGCCTTCAAGATCTGGAACAAAGAGATGCTTGGCTAGCATGTTTTATTCTTTACACACTTTAGAACTGCATAGCTTAACTTCTGTAACATACATGCTGTAGGAAGGCATATTCTGTATCTGAATTATGTTTGGAGAGGACAGAATCTGGGAGAATGCTTTATAAATAGTAAGGGCTCAATCAGCATTTGATTAGTAAATGATGCCTGGCTAGCAACAGCTGCTGATCTGAATTAGGGGAGGCCCTTATTAACTCCAAATTGCAAGATGGGTATGCAAACCCCCTCAGGCTTAGAAATGAGGCTGCTCCTAAGAGTTTTGCAGATTCTTTACCACGGGACCTGAGAAACAGTAAGTGGCAACCCAAGTTAGAAATATAAGGAAGTGATCCTTAACCACACAGAGCTAATAAAGGCTATGATAAGACACATGTGTGTAGGCAGAGATTACGGGTCACTTAAGCATATACTCACACCCACACCCCTGCATACACAAATACATCTTGATCTGGGAAGTAGTTATATCAGTGTACATACATATAAAAATATAAAAAGTCTTCAACTGTGATCTATGGATTTTCTAGTAAATGTAAAATATACTCCAATAAATAAAACACAATGGAGAAAAGTGAGAAAAAATATAATACAGAAAACAGCATGCTTTAAAGTTCTTATTTTTGTCTTTTTTATTTACTCTCTTAGAGTATGTGGGAGAGCAACCCATTATTCCACAATCTGTATTTTTGTGACACAGTAAATGCATTATTAAGGAATTATTTAGGACATGAATTTGAGCAAACTCCAGGAAATAGTGGAGGAAATAGTACTAGAATAACAAGTGTGACACAGGAGCATAAACAGGGCAACAGTTGACAAAGAAATTTATATGCTATTGTCCTTTCCTATAAAAGACAGCATCTCCTTCTTTCGCTTCTCCCAGGCCAAGTTTTAGTCAAAATCCTATAAGCTAAGTCGCCTTTGGAGGAAACGGTATTCAACCACCATTGATCCCATCTGACACTGTTAGTTTCCATAGAAACTCTTCTAGAATTCTCCCGCTTATCTGGACCAAGTGCCTCTCCCATCCATTAAAAATAAGCCCAGGAAAACCCTGCCTCGGAGGCTGACATCTCCCAGCCCTGCTCTGTTGCAGAAGGATGCAAGAGCAATTCAGTCAGCATCTGTTACCTTTATCAGAAGAGCTGTCTCCATTACCAATACACAAATGAAAGATTAAACACTGCCTTGTCCAATTAGCCTGGGTCCAAATAGGCTGTTCCCTGTAGGACTCTCATGGAAAATGTTCCCAAGGCTCATATTTGAACAACAACAACAAAAAAAAAATCAAAAAAGTCTGGATGCTAGAAAAGCAGTCCTGTGTCCTCTGAGTTTACATCATTATGTAATCACCAGCAGCCTCTGGGGGTAATATCGCTTGTTATGCTAGAAGGTCATTCCTCCTTGTTTTGGGAGGGGGAGTGGAATTTCAGGCCTTGGGAGGAAGTGCAGACCTATGGGTCATCTAAATGTCCTTATTTTCATCAGTATATGTGCTCACCAGAATCAGGCTTTCCTGTGAAAACTCCGACATTAAAAGACAAGCTGAATCGACAGTGTAAGAAGTCAGTAGAGTGTCCTTAGGGAAAGGAAGGAGCAGCGGCCAGAACGGGCCACGGAGGAGCCTGGGGGTGAGGTGCCGGGACCATCCTGTTGTTTGTTCAGGTTGCTGTTGCTGTTCTTCAGTCGCTAAGCTGTATTTTACTTTCTGCAACTCCATGGGCTGAAGCACGCCAGGGTCCTCTGTCCTCCACTATTTCCCAGAGTTTGCTCAAATTCAGGTCCATTAAGTCAGTGATGCTATTTAATCATATCTTCTGCTGCCCCCTTTTCCTTTTTCAGGTTATACACATGCCCTAACCTCACTAAAATCCACGAAGCTATACACTTAATGATCTGTGTACTTTTCTAATTGTATGTTAGCTACATTTCAATATAGAAATTTTATACTTAAATGACAGACAAACCAAGGGATCTGGGCAACAGAGTTATTTGGCCTGGAAGTAGAAAGAGGCCATCACAGCCTGCTATATTTCCTCCTGAACTAAATTGGAAAAGTAAGTTAAGAACAAGGTCCAGGGACTTCTCTGGTAGTCCAGAGGTACAGAATCCACCTTCCAATGATGGGGATGTGGGTTCCATCCCCAGGCAGTGAACTAAGATCCCACAAGTTGCAGGACAAGTAAACCCATGCAACTGCATCCAGAGGAGCCTACAGCCAACAACAAAGAAAGAGCAAAACCACTCATATAAGACGCCAAAAACAGTGACTGAGGGGGCTACATCACATTTCTCAGGGAGACTTTGTCCATGAACTGTGTCCAGCATATCTTCCTCACCCACTGAATGATATAAACCAACTGGTATCTGTAGGAGGCATCTACGGGATCAAGTGCCCCACAGCCTGCCTCTACATCTGGGAACTCTGCCAGCCAAGGCTTCCTGGTCCTGCCTAAGCCCCAGGAACAAGGTTAGGCCACTCATGGATTTGCCACAGACTTTTGAAAACAGAATTGGGAAAGTGGCCTGTTTTTCTGGGTGCCTGAGGCTACAATGAGTATAGTTTGCTGCTGTCAGAAGTCACGTTTCCATTAAAGGGAGAAGTCTAATCTATAGAAATAGAATTGGTTTACATCAGTTGGATAGGGACTACTAAATATTTTTCTGTAAAATGTGGATTAATACATTTTAACACTTATGGCCTATAGAAGCAAGGGCGAAGTCAAGACTCTTGGCTTCTTAATCATGGATAATATCTTCATCCACTCAACTTTAGTCACCCACACATACAGGCATTTCCTTGACCTTGAAAACATCAATAAGCAACAATAGCAACAATACCCCCTCTAAAAGTCATATGCCAGCATCCTTCCCTATCCATCATCTGTTACCTTCTCAACTACTGTAACTCCAAGTCCAACAATTCTATTTCTCACAGAGTCCTACCATCCATTGACTCTACTGTTCTTTCATTATCCATCACTGTCCCGGGC